CTCGATGCTCTTTCCTCGCCGCTTCCATATGTTTTTAGCCTCAAGCGCAGTGAAGCCCGCCGGCTATTTGATATGTAGTATTTAATAAATAGAAAAATAATTTAAATTTATTTTAAATATTAATTAATGTTTGAAACACAAGTGATTTTTCTTGCTTATGTTAGAATTTAGATTTTTTCATATTCTTTTATACACATGGTAAAATAACTTAATAATAATATTTACTTAATGCAAATGCGAACTACTTGTAACTGCAAATGATGGCTATGTGCACAAGTGCGTGCAGGTAATAAATATTTAGTATGAAACTTATTTGAATAACCGCCAGCTGACGACTTTGCAAAATTAACTTCACAAACGTACACGTACGCGCAGCTATTGTAATTCTTGTTGGTGTTATTTGTAAAATAATAATTGTGCTGCATGGAATAAATATATATACTATTTAAGTACATACATACATACATTTATTCATATAAGTGCCTATGCACTCATATCGTCTACTATTAAGCGCTGTGGTAAATTTTAATTTATTTTCACATGCTGAGTATTTGCATTTACAGCATTTATGAAATTTCATCACTTGCCATTGCAAGTAATTGCGCCTGAGTGTTTTCCAGCCTTGACATATTTATTTGTTTGCCAGTAGTCAAGTAAATACATATTCAGATGAGTAGAGTAGTGGCTGGCTAGAATGTACATACGTATGCAGTTAAGAACAAATGCATAGTGACATATGTAGACTTGTACATTTACAAGCATAAACATATACATATATCTACGTATGCATGTATGCAAGTTAGCAGCACAAACGCACTTGTGGAAGGCACAAAGCAACTTCTGTGTAGAAATCTTAAAATCTGCACGCTTTCAAATTTATGCTTCAATTACATAGACGCCTAAAACGTGCCTACGTATATGTATGTAAATACTATACATATGTTTTTTTTTGTTTATCTCTAAGTGCTTAGATATTTGCTATAACAGCATGCCGCTCAGGGATTAAGTGTTGCCTGGCAATAACTGAATACCACAACATTTTATAAGCTTAACTCTGTCGCCGGTGTTATACAAGTATTTACATTTATCTACTCATACACACATCTACAAACATACGAACATATACGAAAAACATATCACAATTTGTAAGTTGTAACGTGTCTGTAACATACATAAATACATCTCGTGCCATCTTGTGGTTTGGTGGCTTCTGTTGCAGATATAAAACAATTACATTTTGTAATCACTTAACTTCAATTTGTTGCATAGCTTGTGCAGAGTAATTATTTGAGTCTGTTTTAGGCTTGTTATTTATTTCTCCTTCGTGATTGTAAAATAAAATAATAAAATAATTCCATTCTGCAGTTTATGTACATACGTGCTTAAATATTTGTTCTGGTGTGGAAAGTAAAAATAAAGCTTAGGTTTTTGAAAGAGCAATTTTAAAGTGTATTCAACAGGCTGAGATGGTTATATAGTCATATTTTGTAGTAGGTGCATTGCCTGGTTGATTGAATTGAACGATAGGCTTAAAGTGGTAAGAAAACATCATACTAAATCTTCTACTTAATTGCTATGCAAAAAGAAGAGAACCGACAACAATGCTGAAAACAAAAAAAGAAAAATAAAATAATAATATTATTAATTTTTATACGCAATGCTAGGGAGGAGTTAAAGGATATTTAAACCAGGTAGAGTCTCGCTTATTATGTCTTATATTAATTCTATTAAAAATCTGCAGAGAATTTTACCCACATTAGACTCTATAACAACCTGCCCACTGTATTTTTAACCGACTTCCAAAAACGGAGGAGGTTATCAGTTCGTCGGAATATATATATATATTTTTTTATGTACGTCACGATTTTTCTTTTTTGAAACAGAAATGTAGTGTCTCAGAGGTGGTCCCATATTAGTCTAATTTAGATCTGATCATTGGATCATGAAAAAATTAACGGTACTCCTAAATTTTTATATGAGAATTGAAGTCGGTTTTTTTTTTGCTTAAAAATTACTTGCTTATTTCTTTACTTCATTCATAAGTCAAAGCCTTCATACCTATTGTAAAGGTATAAGCACGGAAACGCCTTCTAATTTTGCTATCAATAACTGAGAGATCACTTATTTGTAAAATATAATTCTATTTAAAAAAACTCGAGGTTTGGAAGTATTTTAAAATACATCCAGCTCACATAAATCTTACAGGGCCATTCTGGCTAAGATAGTGAAAAGTCTTTCGAAAGGCAAATGAAAATATATTTCGAAAGGCTTTTGTTAATCTAGAGCTGCGGGTTCGAAACCTTGCGCAGCGTATATTTTTTGTACTATAATTTTTTTATTTTTTTAATATAATTTTCTTTTAATTATTAGATTTCATTATGTTATAAAAAAAATATTGATTTTTTAGAAACTAATTTAATTTTTTTTAAAGATTTTATTGTTAAGAAGATAAATTATTTTTTTTAATTTTATAAAATTTTAATTATAATTTTTTTTTTCAATAAAATTTTCTGTTTGGTTTTAGATTTTATTATTTTAAAAAGAAAACATATATGGATTTTGCTTTTAATTTTTATATCTTTTTTTTTTTTTTTATAATTTAATTTTGTTCTTTTTTAACTTAGATTTTTGATAATTTTTCTATTTGTTTTAAAAGTAAGCATATTTTTTAATTAAATTAAATTTTTAAGTACTAGTATTTTCTTCTATTTTTATTTAATATTTTTATTTTTATAATTTAACGTTCGTTTAATTTTAGACTTTATTGTTAAAAAAACATATTTTTTAAATTTCATTTAATTTTAAAAAATATTTTTATATCGTTTTGCTTTATTTTCTTTTTTAATTAATTTATTTTTTTAATTCGAATTCCTTTTATATACAAGTTTTTATTTTTTTAAAAAGAAAAAAATTGTTTTATTTATTGTATATTTAATAAACTTACTGCCAAAAGGCCAAAATCATAACGCTAAGACTTCCTCGTTAGCAGATCTTCCTTAGGCTTTCGAAAGGCAGTAAAGAGCTTTTAAGATAGTTGCCGGAATTGACAATTTTGGTGTCAATATTTTCTCGAAATATTTTGACGGGAGTCTTATTTAGAATATAGTACATTTTATATTTCCGAGAGAAAACCAGTACCGATTTTTTTGAATGCGGGAGGATGTACCCTATGTATGTATGTATGTATGTATGTTGATGACCATTGATAACTCATACGCCACGGCATGCGATTAACTTTTGGTATCTTTAATATATTATTTGAGTGTGTTATTACAAGAGTCGTATTTTAAAACCCAACGCCAGAAGCCATGTCTGCCTAAGTTGCTCACATACCATGGCGTATGTGCTATCTAACACCCCCAAGCATCGGCGACTAAATCGTTACACAAGAGTACCTGTTATTGTTGATTGATAGAGAAATTCTCACCCGATGCCTCAACATTTTTTAGGACCCTTCTCAACAAAACTCTAGCTAGAGATATCTTTTTGCACCCTAACCAATGCAGTGCTTGTTGTATCATGCTGAAAGACACGCTGGTAAGAAACAAATATTTATCTTCTCGGATACTTAGGCAGCTCGGTAAGCTTTACGCTCATTTACAGACGTTGCCAAGTACCTAATCGAATGCAGTAGATCTTTGAAAAATATGGCACATAATTCTGGAATTCAAGTAGAAATATGGTTGTCAGAGACCGGGATATTGAGGGCAACTTCAAAGTCAACGAATTGTCTAGGTAAGGTACGATGTACAAAATCCTTGTAATAGAGCATATAATAGGTATATTAATGGTCACCTTTTAACAGTTTCTTAGAGACGGCAATACCCTAGTAGCTACTGAATGATGGAAAAATTTTTGGTTTGGAAAACCCCTAAGATTACGTCACCTTCATAAAACAGGAAATGCAGATCGTTATACTTGAGATAAAAAAAATGAGTTAGCTTATTTTTAAGGACCCTTTCAGTTCAGAACCTTATTGGTTTACATGCCATGAGACTAGGAAAAAAAAGAAATTCACCACAAACCAGAAGCAGCTCGCAGGGATATCTTCTTTTCCTTTTTTGGCCCTGTAACAACCAAAGTCCAATAAAGCACGCCAAGCATTTATCTTCTATACCAACTAAACTAATTGGAAATGCCAAGTGAAGCTTAGTCCTTCCCCACCTGATATTGGCCCCGCAAAGGACGCTTTCCTCTTCTTTTGCTACCACCGTCGAATTCTATCAGAGCTCGTACATCTGAACATTCCATCGATGACTGAACTACTTCAGTGCAAAATAATTTAGATTTTCCTACTAAAAATGTAATCTTATACCTTCAATTTAGTTCGAAATTAATAAGCTGTAAATTTTTGCTATAGCAAGATTAAAACTTGTACAATATTGCAATGCTGCTTTGAGCACAAAATCTCAAATTGTTTTCTATTTAAATTTTTATAGCTACATACTATCTATCTGCATTTAGATATCTAAGCAAAACTTACAGCGCACATAATTCTGCATTAGACCGCATTTTAATAGAAAATCTGACATTCGCGCAGAGAAATTTATGCTAAGGCACGTCGAGCGCCGCACACATACATACATACATTCAAACTTCAATATGGCTAAGCTGGCAATCTGCCACCTGAGCACACGCTAACGGCGAGATAGTGTCGTCGGTAACCTGGCGCGTACGTACACACCGTAATCGCACTTGCTCAATGCAAAGTCGAGCACGCCTTGTGTTTACATAATATAATTATTGTTGTTTTCCATTTCTTCTTCTTCTCCTTTTTTTTCTTTCAACAAGCAGCTTACACTCCATTGTTGTATGGATGTGCTGTGCGACCACAATGAAACGTGAATGGAAAGATTAAAGTGTACACAATGTACAGAAGCAGGTAAAACAAACAACAACAACACCAAAAAAAAAAACGTGGCCGAAGTAGGCTTAGCAGGCGTACACACGTACATAAGTATGTACATACATAATAATCGTAGCCGTAATAGGATACTTACCACAATGGATCTGTTAGGACATTTTTGCCGCTAAAACTGTAAATGCGCGGCGCTTGTGAGAAGAAGCCACCTTGACCATTAAAGATGCCCTTCCACGAGTTGAAGAGTACGTCGCCTCTGGTATTGACCACCGGTAGATCGCGGTCTGCGACACGTACAATTGAGTCAAGATTTTGCACTCTGCGAATGGGAGAGAAGATAAATGGAAATTTAAATAAGTGTAAATATTTGTAATTGCAAAGGTATGTACAAAATGAAATGACAGAAAGTGTAGAAAGGGTAGAGAAAGTAAACAAAATACTAAAAAAAAGTTCAAGTAGATTTTAGTATGCGCTTGTTTTTGGTGAAGAATATCAGTAAAAAGGAAAATTTGAATTCCTTATCTGACTTTGAAATAATGTTTCTTGTTCATAGTAATTCCTTGTGCCAAAGTAAAAAATCAAAGCAAGGAAACCAGACTTTGGACTAGCTTACTTAATTAACTCATTATAATATTATTAAAAAAAAAAAATATAAAGTGCCTATATAAAGTGCGTACATATACTTTTTTTTTACAAAACAGGAACGTTCTCAAAAGACAGTCATGGGAGAGGAACTGTAAGATTTTTTTTATGTATTTTAGCCATTTTATCTCAAGGAAGGCGTTATACCTAGAGCAGTTTCTCATAATCCTGCCTTGTCTTACGGAGTACTCCCGGCACCCAGGTGAGATTAAGTGTACGTTGCCGAAAAGATAATAAGGATGTATTGAGCCTTGAATGTACATATATGGAGTTAGTCGCTGCCGATTTTGGCTTCTTGTTCGCAGCTTTACTGTCCACAATAAAAAAAAAAATAAAAAATTGTTGAAGCGTTCTACGGCTTATCAGTTGTATATCCATATCTCACTGCCAAGCGCGGAATATTAATCCCAGAAAAGACTGTCGCATTTAGTACCATTCACAACAAAATACAAAACCGATATGGAGAGATGGTACAGATATTTCTACCAAATAGATGTTTAACTTCTACTAAATAAAAGTGGAGAAAATTCCCTAGAAAGCTGTATGTTTACCCAATAGGGATAGCAGCCCTAATGCCAGCATGCCCAAAGCTAACGTCACATGCTTTGGAAATTTCAAGCAAAAAGTATAAAAATTACATGCCACATCAACGTAATGCTGCACTTCAATATTTACATGTAATTACAAAGTCCTATCCAATTCGCTTTGCCCACTTAAAAATTCAACCTGCCTCGTTTATGTCCAATATATACAAAAGTCACTTTGCGTCATGCAGATATGGCTGATATGTACTTACAACAGATTTCCACCACCGCTTTGAGTATGAAAAATACCAAAAAATAAACAACAAAAATCACCGCCCACCTGTCCGCACCAATCAGCAGAATGCGGCGGTGAATGCGAATTAAATGGTGCAAATCAAAACAAATCAAAATAATCGGCGCTACAATCATCACAACTGTCACAAGCGCACAAGCAAACCAACAAACAATGGCAAGAGGCAGGCGAAACAGAAAATTGTGCAACAACAACAGCAATAATTGGAGCGCACATATTTTGTTGTTGCGCCAGTTAAGCCAACCACCCCAATTTGAGTTGAGGAGTACTTAGCTAGCGCTTTGTGGCACC